TGTTGTCTCCTGTCCAGCTTCTGTTGGGGCCGGGTGCCTGGATGGTGGCCCTGGACCTCCAGGTCAATTATTGGCACTTGGTGTATTTTTGCATCTTTACCGGATCTTGGTGCCCTGTCTGAGTCTGCTTGAGATTCGGTGTCTGGCCTACCTCGACGACTGGCTGGTGTGAACTCCCAGTCGGTCCGCTTGTCTGCTCGTTAGGAGTGTGGTTCTTTCCAGATCGCTGGGTATTGTTTCCTGGCGATCTGGAGGCCATTCCATCTGTTTCCGTCCCGGGTTCGGACCTTGGCCTTGTTTAGGGCTATTGAGCCACTCCTTGTCTTTCCCTCCAGAAGTGTTACGGAAGCTGTGGTCCCGCCTTCGGCTGTTCGTGAAGGGGTCCCGGGTTGCTCGAGCGGTTGTGCGAGAGTCTGAACTTCGACGTGCTGGTCTGCCCACGGGGTCGGGTTTGGCCTTGGCATCTGTTTGATTCCTTCGGAGACTTCCCTTCCGCCTCTTGCAATCGTTGGGTTCATTCCTCTGGGGATCTTGTGTTGGTGCTGCGTCACCAGCTTCCTCTTTGGGGTTTTCGGGGTTCCGTGCCTTGGCACCTCCCCGAGCCTTCGCTCGATGTGTTCACGGACGGGTCATCTCTTGGCTGGGGCTTTGTGACCAGTGCTCACTAGGTCTGTCGGGGATGGTGGAGTCTGTCCGTCCGTCATGCTCACAGCACGTTTCGGGAGTTCGTGGCTGTCTGGTTTGCGCTTTGGAGGGTTTGGGTCACCGGTGCTCTACCATTCAGCTCCATTCAGACTGTTCTCTGGCGGTTCTTGCCGGAACCACAGGGTTTCTCTTAGGTGTTGACCTTTGGGGTTGGTTCCTTAGAGTGGCTCGTTTGCTTCATTCTCGGGGTATGTCTAACCGTGAGATTCATGTCCGGGGTGTGTCTTGCGTCCTGGCGGACAGCTGTCTCGGTTCATTCCTCTGTTCGCGGATTGACCAGTCGTCGCCGACTCGTTTCGTTGGCTCTGCCAGACGTATGGACTCCTGGCCATGGACGTCTTCGAGTCGGCGTGGTCTAGGCATCGCCCATTTTATGTGGCACCCTTACCCACCTGCAAGGCATTCACGGTGGATGCTTTTCGGTAGGACTAGTCGAGGTGCAGCCCATTCCCACGAGAGCAGTCCTTATGGTTCCTTGGTGGCCAGCCCAGCTTTCTTTTCAGACGCTGCTTGATAGGTGTCCAAACCCGGGGCGTTTTCCCACGGCTCTGACTCTTTTGGCAGGTCGAATTGGTCCTGTACGTGACTGGTTCAGCCTTCTCCTCAGCTCTTCGCGTCTGGTATTTTGACGCGGGTATCACCATCTCTGTGGTGTTCAGGCGGATTTGTTGACGGTGTCCCACAGGCAAGCTTCGTCTTGGCGACAGTATGACATTCCTGGTGTTTCTATGCACTTTTTCTTGCTCTTTGTATGTTGTCTTCTCTTTCGCATCGGGTTGTCTTGCCCTTTCTTGGGTTTTCCGGACTACAGTTATTCGATGTTTCTTACTGTTGCCTCGTTTTGTGCGGCACTGGCGGAGCCGCTCCGGCTTGCGTTCAGGGTGGACGTCACATCTGCTCCGTTTTGTACGCTTTCTCGTGTTTTGTTTCACCTCCAGCCTGCTCATGCGTCGCCTGTGCCGTCCTGGTCCTTGATCAGGGTGCTTTCTTATCTTCTCCTCAGTTTGTGGTAGCCTCTTCTGTTCAGGTTTCTGATCTTTGGTACTGGTGGTAGATTTGCACGTGTGCAGCCTTTCTCCGTCCTGGTGACGGTCGAGATGGCTGGTTTCCGGAGGGGTTCTTGGGTTATTGATGCTTGATTGGTTTGGCCGGGGGTGCGTCCTGTGTTGTCCGGTTGCACTTTTTGCCGTTACCTGCGTACCGTGTCTGGGGGATGCGCTTTGGTTTGATCCGGTTCCCCTCGTTCCCTGTTTCAGGGCTCGGGTCTCCCAGGTCGTCCTCAGAGTTTTTCAGTCTTCCAGCCTGCGGTCTGTCTTTGCGCCCGTGCTGTTCGGACATTTGCAGCTTTTGCTGCTGCTGTTGGTGACATCTAGGGCTCATTTCGGGCGCAGGGAATTGAGGGTCGCACAGGTTCTTGGCCGCCCATTCTTTATGCGTATCTGCTCCTGTGCGTTCTTGTTGCTTTGGGTCGCAGGTTGCATCCTGTTGTCTCGGCTTCGCGTTACGGAGTTTGTGACGGCCGCCTCCCGGGTTAGCCCTTTCTTTTCCTTCTCTTTGGGTATGTAGCTCCAGGGAGCTATAGGGGCTCCCCACAGAAAACCAGTGTTGAATGTAATGAAACGCCATTTTCTGGGTGAGCCTCGGAGGCTCCCTGGCAACCCTCCCTCCCACCGGTCAGCGTTTTTTTTCGCGTTGGTTGAAGCTTAGCTTCCGAACTGAAGCTTGGCAGCTGGCGCAGTAGGTCCTGGGCTCCCCCCTCCCCCTCTCGGGGCGTGGAGGGCTGCGCAGACGATCGGCGCGGCAGTAAAGTGTGATGTTTGCATGTTTGCTTGTTTCCTTGGGATTGTAGGGAGTTTCTACCTCTCTGTTCGGTTTTTTGTTTTAATTTTTTACCATGTGGGGTTTGTTTTGTTATGCCTACCTTTCTGGGTGCCTAACCCCGGTCGATGGCAGATAAGGAAAACCCCAACCACAAGAGGGTTTTCCAGTGCCATTGCTCCCTGAAACCTCTCTGAAGGAGCCAGGTTCTGGCACTGGAGTTCAGACTAATTAGCTAAGGAGTTCAGACCTACCAGGAGTTCAGACCTGGTAGGTCTGAACTCCTTAGCTAATGTCCCAGTCTAATATAACAAACATTAGCCCGTTAAGCTCCAGGGAGCCTCCGGGGCTCACCTAGAAAATGGCGTTTCATTACATTCAACGCTGGTTTTTTCGTTGGTGGTTTTTCATACGTTCAGTTGGTCCCGCACGCTTGAGTGATATGAGGCTCTGACGATTGTCCAGGTTTACCTTGGGGGGCGAGTTTGAGCACCTCAATGTGTGCTTATTCATCCTTGCCCATCCTCGGGATGTTGGCATCATGCAGATTCACGTGCAGGTTTCCACCCTTTCGGCTGCACTGGTTGCTGAGGACTTGCACGCATGTGGCCTGTTGGCTTCGATCTTGCATTTCTTTTCCCTCCTGGAGCTGTCTTTGGATTGGCTTGAGGAAGATGTGGAGATGCTTGGGGCCATTCCTGGGTCTGGTGCCTTGGTCTTGGCGGCGCATTTGTCGTCTGCCCTGTTGAAGCTGTTCGCGCCGATCCTGCGGGATTTGGTGTCTGTTTTTTGCGTCTTGTCTCGCGTGTCGGCAGGCAGTGCTCGCGACCTCCCTGGAATCTGTTTGGGCCCTGGCTTTTAGGTTTTTGTTGCCATTTTGCCCTTTGATGTTTGCTGACTGAGGTTGGGCAGTATCTGCAGTCAGCTTCTTCCAGTTGCCATCCAATGTTAGACTTGTTGGTTCTCTGGGAGGCCTGTGGCGGGGGTCTTCCCGGAAGGGTCATGCCGGGGTTTGGGGTTCCTCCCATCATGATAGGCGAGTGGTGCCAGTTTCAGGGCAGGCGCAGCCTTCAGAACCATTTTCGTCTAGTTGGCACGGTGATCGCTCTGTGCGATCACCAATTGCGATTGTGCAAGTGCACAATCATTTTGTGCATTTTGTGCATGCAGGGGGCATTTGTTCCCCTGCCCCCTATTATTTTAAGGTCTTGACCTTCTGTGTTCGGTGGTACCCCCCTGCTTGGCCCCCGTGAGTGGACATGTCCTGTGGGTTCAGTTGTAGAAGTTTGCTTGATAGACTTGGGCGCCGATTAGCAGTACCCTGCCTGGGTTTACCCTTAGTGATAACAGTCTAAGGGCCCTGGGAAACCCCGCGGGTGTCGAAAGGGGTCTGATGGATTCGACCCCTGGGTCCTCTCTCGCCTTGTGTGAGTTTGATGGTTGCTCTGTCCCCCTTGTCTCAGGGCGATGCTCATGAACCCTTTCCTTTCTGCCTTTTCAGCTGCCCCGGCTTTTTCTGGTGAAGCCGGGGCTTTGGAGGATGACTCGTCCCCAGGAGCCTGATGTGGAGGTTCCTGGGGGTAGGGGAGGGGCTGACGTGTGGCCGTGAGCCCCATTGGACCCCTGCCTGTGTTTTTCAACCCTCAGAGTGGGGCTTTTTGTTACAAGGAGTGGGGTTTTTCCCCCATTCCCCCTATGTACGAGTTGAAATTGTGTTCAGCCCCTCTCTGGGTTGGGTTCCGACGGGGCTCCCCCCAGAAAACCAGTGTTTAATGTAATGAAATGCCATTTTCTGGTTAAGACCCATTGGCTCCCTGGCAGCCCTCCCTCCCTCCCTCTGGTTGGCGGTGTTTTCATGTGACATCCAGCCTAAGAACTGCCAGTTGCATTGCTGGCACGAGGGTCTGGGGCTTCCCCTTCCCCCTCCCGGGAAGTGGGTGGGTTGTGCAGACAGCAGTGTGGCAACATAATGACGTCATGCTCGTTTGCTAATTTTCTTTGAGGAGTTCTGTCCACTCGTTCGGCTTTTGGTAGCAATATTTTCACCAGAATAGGTATTTGTTTTGGGGCACCTATCTTTCTGGGTGCCAAACCAGGTCGATGGCAGACATCATAGAATGCTCCCAACCACACGGGGGTTTCTATTGGCTATTGCTCCTCATGCCTCTCTGGGGGGGGGGGGGGTGCCTAGGTTCTGGCTTGCAGTCCCTGGTAGGCAAGAACTCCATGCACTTTGATGCCAGATAGCTAATAGTTACATATCAGCCTGGATAGCTCCGGGAAGCTTCCGGGTCTCACCCAGAAAATGGCGTTTCATTACATTCAACGCTGGTTTTGTATTTCTTGCGGCTGATCGTATTGCAGACTATATAGTAATTGCAAGAGCAGTCCAGGGGTTAAAAGGGGTAAAAATTGCATTTGTTTTATAATGGAAAGATTGCAATAATTTAATATTCATTTATGTTATTTAATTCCAGGCTAAGAGCACGACTTGGTTATTGTCGCACAACAGCTGTGATGTCCATGGTGGGCTACATCCTTGGTCTTGGAGACAGACATGGCGAAAATATTCTTTTTGATGCCTCGTGTGGAGACACTGTTCATGTAGATTTCAACTGTCTTTTCAATAAGGTTTGTAGTGTTTTCCTAGTTTTTGTGTAACCCCACTTATGCATGGCCCTGTTCCCTATCAGTCAGTTATTGTTGAGTCAAGCCTGGCCTCATGCCGGGCTCGGGGAGTAGAAGAACTCTCAGAACCCTTTCCAGGTATATCCTCTCCTGGTATTGATTAACTCATGCACTGCACTACCCGAAATAGTGCATGGTGTGATGGGGCGTCACCAGACACATGATGAACGTTTGTATATCATAAGATTAAAAACTCCAGCAGGTACATAGGGCTCACATCCTGTTCCTCAGAACTACAGTAAACAGAGGGCATCTTAAAATTAAAATTGTCTGCATCTCCACAGGTAGTGAGAGCCTCAGTAGTGCCAGAACAACCAAGGCTGGTGCATGAAGCTCCAGCTCACACCACAGCTGCACAAGTCAGGGCCACACCACAATTTAATAATGATGAATAAAATAAGTAACTGCAATTATTTTGCATTGATAATGTCATAGATAATCCTGAGTTTAATAATAATGAGCAAGGTTCCAATATCAGTGAACACAATACTAATTATGATGTTCACAGCACATAGCGGAGGTTTGTGAATCAGTGTATCATGCAACGTGACCTCATGTTCCTTTATAAAATAATCTTGTGGAAAATTATTCATAATCATGATTTAGTGACGAATCTGATGATAATAGCAGTATTCAAAGTGATAATCGCAATGTACTTAGTGTATTTCTGGGTACAATATTTTGATGTCAGGTGATGTCGGCTGCTGGAGTTAGCTGGTCGTAGCGTGTACCTCTATTCTGCACTAAGATTTCATCATCACACACAGTAGATGTGCTTAGTGGTTCAATATGGTTTATAAAAATATAGATAGATGCATATAATGTGTGTATATAGTGTAATAACAGTATAAAGACTGTTGTATTCTTCTAAGAATATAAAATATATGTGTCAGTAGATATGGGCATTATATCTCGAGCATAACTATGTTCAACACATTTAACTACCAGATATGCCAGTGTATAAGTCGACATTTGAAGCCTAAAAATACTGTATGTCTCCAAAACCAGGGGTTGACTTGTCCGCTGAATATAAAATGTGAACCTTTACCACCGAGAGAGAAACAAAGTGAAACATCCTGCCTAACATGTTGTACACCACTTGTCATAACTCGCAGCCCAGGGAGGGATGGAGGCAGGCAAAGTGGGAGGCAGTCAGGGAGGCACATAGGAAGGGAAGGAGGGAGGCAGGCAGACCTGGAAGGAAGGAGGGAGAGGAAGAGGCTGGCAGACAGAGAGGGAGACTGGCAGACATGGAGGTAGGCAGAGGAGGAGAGAGCCAGGTAGGGAGGGAGGCAGGGAATGAAGGAGGGAAGCAGGACATGGCAGGGCATCACCTTCTGTCCCCAGACTCCTCCACAACATTCTGGGTTGATAGGAAAGTACAACACCAGTGTGTTGAAGGTTGCTTCGTCATGCCAGGAGTATTACACCACATGCCAAATTTTTCTCAAATACTGTAATAATAGTAATAATAATAATAGTAATAATAATAATAATAATAATAATAATAATAATAATAATATAATTCACTGTGTCGGGGGACAGGAAGCAGAGTATTCACCTAGTTATGCTTGTGGGGGTTGAACTCTGCTCTTTCTGCCTGCCTCTCAACTGTCAATCAATCAAATGTTACTAACTATTTCCCCCCATCCCCCAGGAAACAGCCTATAGCAGCTGTCTAACTCCCAGGTACCTATTTACTGCTAGGTAACAGGGGCATCAGGGTGAAGGAAACTCTGCCCATTTGTTTTTCCGGTGGTGACGGGGGATCGAACCCCAGTCCCTAGGTCCACAAGTCTAGAGTGCTGTCCACTCAGCCACTACCCACCCACCACCCACCCACCAGAGTGTATTCATACATGTTAGGGTTTTCTGGGGGGAGCCCCTTTGGCTACCCGGAGATATCCAGGCTGATATGGATATATTAAACTTTGGCATCAATCAATGTGAATGAAGTTGTAGGCTTACCAGGGACCACGAGCTAGAACCTGGCCTCCCTCAGAAGAGGCACGAGGAGCAATGGCTATAGAAACCCCTCGTGTGGTTGGAAGCATTCTGTCTGCCATCGACCGGGTCAGGCACCCAGAAAGGTGAGCGACCTAAAACAAACTATTATTCTGGTTAAGAAATTACTACTGAAAGCCGAAAGCCGCTCCATAATGTATTCGGTATTGATGTTACTTCTGCTCTATTCCGCAAGCATTCTCATGCGTTGTTTCACCTCCGGCATGCTCATGCGCTGCCTGAGCAGTCTTGGCCTTTGAATCGGGTGCTCTCTTTTTCTCTCTTCTCCTCGGTTTGTAGTGGCCCTTTTGGTTCAGGATTGTTTTTCTAAAGCTCTTCCTGTTGGCATTGGCTTTTGGGGGTCGGGTCACAGAGCTCCATGCACTCCTTTGGCACAGGTGTTTTTGCTCTTTTGGTCCTGGTAGTAGGTTTGTTCATCTGCAGCCGTCTCCTGGTAGTAGGTTTGTTCATCTGCAGCCGTCTCCTGGTAGTAGGTTTGTTCATCTGCAGCCGTCTCCTGGTAGTAGGTTTGTTCATCTGCAGCCGTCTCCTGGTAGTAGGTTTGTTCATCTGCAGCCGTCTCCTGGTAGTAGGTTTGTTCATCTGCAGCCGTCTCCTGGTAGTAGGTTTGTTCATCTGCAGCCGTCTCCTGGTAGTAGGTTTGTTCATCTGCAGCCGTCTCCTGGTAGTAGGTTTGTTCATCTGCAGCCGTCTCCTGGTAGTAGGTTTGTTCATCTGCAGCCGTCTCCTGGTAGTAGGTTTGTTCATCTGCAGCCGTCTCCTTCTTTCCTGGCAAAGAATGATTGCTGCTTTTCGGAGGGGTCCTTGGGTTGTTGATGCTTGGTTGATCAGGCCAGGGGTGCATCATGTGTTGTATCCGGTTGAGGCTCTCCACCGTTATTTGTGCGCCATGGCTGCGGTGGCCAGGGATGCACTTTGGGTTGACACGGTTTCCTCCATACCTGGGAGACCCGGGCTCGGGTCTCCCAGGTCATCCGTAGGGTTATTAAGTCTAGCCAGCCTGCGGTCTTTCCTCGTGCCCACGACGTTCGTAAGCTTGCTGCTTTGGCTGCCGTTGTTGCAACCTGCTCTCGCACAAGACAGTACATATATGACTTATTGCTTATAGTCAGTATTTGGCATATTAATAAGTACATATGTTGTGAGATTTTTTTCTACGCCTACCTCCCTTAGGAGGTGGACCTCAAACATAAAGAATTGCACACTGCAAATATTTCTACTCTAAGCATGAGACCAATAGAAAAAGGAAAAGCGGGAGCAAACCGCCAGGCTCCCACTACAAGAGTGAAAACCTGTCCACAATAGGCCGCTGATTCCTCCTAGTTAAAAAGGACGTTAAAACCAATAAAGGGTAACCGACGGGTTCTCACAATCAAATATTTGTATATGATGTGGTGCTATGAATTGGAATTCGAATTTCCCAAGAACATTTAAAAAAAAGATCACATTGCAACAATCGTATAAAGCAGAACATGAGTGGAAAAGAATGGTTGAAGGGTTGACATCAAAGACCGTTTTCTATGACAAAACAATTTATTAACTAGAGACTAAACTACTACAACATCGAGTTTACGTTACGTTAATGTCCATCAAGTGGCACTATAACACCAGCTAATTAGCAACGACTCCGGTACATTGCTGTGTGGCTGCATACTGACCTAACCTGAACACAGGTGTGCCCACTGACGATGCAATATTGCAAACAAATCATTCACAAGCCTAGTTTACACCACAGTGAGTGATTCGTTAAGTTATTGTCTATCCAGTGGCACTTGCAACACAGCTATTCAACAGCCCCTCGAGAAATGACAGCAGTCTCCATCTTGCTGACACTCCGGGCTGACTAAATGAACTAACTGAACAATGATGCCCACTGATGACACAAGCTTGCAATCAATATTGTCAGGCTTCATGGTGAACAGATACTATAATCACAATTTTACGGGGCCTCCAACCCTACAGCCGAGATACCCACGTAACTAGGCGGGTAGTCCAACATTGACTCCCCCTATCACAACCTAATGTGAACACTCTTTGCAACTCCCTGCAAGAAGTTGCACTGTAAACAGTAAACAAAGCCAGGCAAGGTGGGATTCTGAGACACTTCTCCAGTAATCCCCCAAGTTACTTTACTCTCATCACCAGACGATAAACAAAAGAAATTGCCTTAATCAATTACAAAATTGATTATGTGATTAATTACATTAATTGACTGTCCACAGCAGTCAGCAACAAAGTACTTTACGTTAATCACAAACACTTGCCTCTCTTAACACAAGTCAACTTGTTAACAATAACTCAAAGTCTCTTAAATTACATCACACTTGACTCCTTTCAAGTATTCAGTGAGTAATTCCTAATTAATGTCAAACGGACAGCTAATTAAATCCCAATCGAGTTACATTAACTAAGCCTACCATTATCTTGGTAGTTTCTCAACAGTGTATGTCAAAATTTACTTTTAATGAGTGTTAATTACCCTAATTAACCCTGAGCAATTAATTAATTGTCACCAGGACCAATAATTAATCATACATAAATATGTCTCACTCCGCACTGCCTAAGCAGGTCTCATTAAACACTGTGAATTCACGGGCGAGGAGTTAATTACTCCACTAATTAACATGAGTGCATCTTAATCCACTGTCACCAGACAGGATATGATTAATATAACGAGTTATGCTAGCTCCATGACCTCGCTTTACCAAGTCATCAAGACCTTTGACATTAATTACTCCACTAATTATCATGAGCCACTAATTGCTATACCCCAGAAAGGTAATTAGTCTCGAGCAAATTACGTTAACACAAATACTGACTGACTCTGACAGTTCCTCCCCACTATGTGAATTCATGATGAGAATGCTAATTACATAATTAGCTAGTGTGGTCAATTAGTTGTCACACGGACAATTAATTGCACCGGAAACGTATCTCAATAAGCTCAGTACTGTTTCCCTTAACAGCTCTCTCACTCATCAAGTAATGTGCAACCCCTTGTAAAGTTAATTCCCCACAATTAACTCTCACTGAATCCTTAAGTCCTCAACACAACTTAAAGAACACAAAGTAACCCCAGGTTACATAGGTCACACTTACAGTGGCATAACAAAATAAATGCACAGCCCACACATTTGGTTGCAGCTTCTGCAACATGGTAATTACTGTACCCTCACAGTAATGACACACGGTTTGACAACACAAAAGTATACCTGGTTGATACCTGGTTGATGGGGTTCTGGGAGTTCTTCTACTCCCCAAGCCCGGCCCGAGGCCAGGCTCGACTTGTGAGAGTTTGGTCCACCAGGCTGTTGCTTGGAGCGGCCCGCAGGGCCACGTACCCACCACAGCCCGGCTGATCCGGAACTTCTCTTAGAAAACCGTCCAGTTTTCTCTTGAAGATGTCCACGGTTGTTCCGGCAATATTTCTTATGCTCGCTGGGAGGACGTTGAACAACCGCGGACCCCTGATGTTTATACAGTGCTCTCTGATTGTGCCTATGGCACCTCTGCTCTTCACAGGTTCAATCTTGCATTTTCTTCCATATCGTTCACTCCAGTACGTTGTTATTTTACTGTGTAGATTTGGGACCTGACCCTCCAGTATTTTCCATGTGTATATTATTTGGTATCTCTCGTCTCCTTTCTAGAGAGTACATTTGGAGAGCTTTGAAACGATCCCAATAATTTAGGTGTTTTATCTCGTCTATGCGTGCCGTATATGTTCTCTGTATTCCCTCTATTTCAGCAATCTCTCCTGCTCTGAAGGGGGAAGTGAGTACTGAGCAGTACTCGAGACGGGACAGCACAAGTGACTTGAAGAGTACAACCATTGTGATGGGATCCCTGGATTTGAAAGTTCTCGTAATCCATCCGATCATTTTTCTGGCTGACGCGATATTTGCTTGGTTATGCTCCCTAAACGTTAGATCGTCGGACATCATTATTCCCAAATCCTTGACATACCTTGACATATTCAAATACCTACATTACTGCCCCCTCTAATCTTGCAACAGTTGCAAGGGACTACTGTGCGCAATCACTATTCTTACTTCAGCAAAACAATTTACGTTAATATAAGACACCGTCGCTATGCTGACAGCTGGCACTAATTCTCGTAATTAGGCAGATTAACCACTCAATTGCTTGCTTTCTCATTAAGTACTGTGATTTCCCCTGAATAATTAAAGGGACCTCCTTAACTCCTCAACACAGCTCCTAGGGCAGTAATATAACGTATACCAAACAACAACACTGCCCAAACATACAAACATAATGATGCCGTCAGCATACCCCACATGCTAATGACATCATTAGGCAATCAGTCAGCAATCACATTTACTGACTCACCACACAACACCGAATAATACATGCAAATGAAAATTATACATAATTATACAGACCTCAGGGTGTCCACTGACAACCCTACTACACTGGCCTGCCTACCTTTGTAAATGATATAATTAACATGCGGCAACACGGCATTAATCTTGACTCTGAACGATATATATTGAATTGACAGATCAACGATCACTTATATGGTAAATCTCTACACTGACCAGTTTACATACTCGAGTCAGTCTACACAAAATTATATCTATATACATCTACATGTGTGGTTCTGTGTATAACATACACCTTCACAAACAGTCACCTTGTCATCAGTACAGACAGCTGCCTCTCAGCTGTTTCCCTCACCTGGCAGGCGTTATGGGACAACACAGTTGTTATCGGAATTAACATTAGTCCAGAGACACTGCATACTTTACAATAACGTGTACTCACGATTGCCACTTTCATTACATTCATTTCCCCGGTCACAACCTCACTTGCTGAAGAACACCTAGCTCGCTCCCACGTGCATCGACTAGGTGTGGCCCTAGGGTGTGACCAGGGCATGTGGCCAAGTGTGGCCCAAAGGGGTGGCCACGGAGTAGTGCGGGGCGATCACAGTGCCCCACCCAGGATAAGGTGGCGCGCGAGGTGGCCAGTGTGGCCCACAGGCGGGTGGCCAGGGTGTGGCCATCACGTGGCCCCACGGAGCTGTGCGGTGCGGGGTAGCCGAGACCTCATGCTGGCGCCTCAGGCGTACACAAACGTGTGTGGCAGATACACTCACACCCACATCACACCACGAGCATGACTCGCTTGTACACCGGGTATGATAATGGCCGGCAACACAACATGGTGGACACGGCAAGGTGGAATTTCAGAGTCCAACAGGGGCCTGTAATCTCACCTCAATTACACTTAGAGGCCCTGCTCTATTCCACCAATTGTCCATTAACATAGACAGGATAACACATAACATCAGATGTGAGCAAAACATCTGATACACCACGAGGCTTGCCAGGTGCCTCATGGGTGAGCACTGTCTCTAGAGTTATTACACAGTTCTTTCCTTACTTTTTGGGCCCCAATTCATGCAAATTGGGTCCTGACACGATCCACGATGGCAGGATTACCATGCATGATGAGTAAAGGAGATAACACAGCGATAATGGGGGTGGAGGTGGCAGACACACCTCCCCCACCTTCCTGGGCATCCAGCCCGCTTGCTCGCCCTCTCCAGACTCCAGATTTGGCCGGATAGTGAAACTCAAAATGCCCGCCCTCCCCCCCCCCCCACCTTGTCTTGACCAATCAGCACAAAGCCGGCACAGCCACTTGTGCTGCTATGATTCACCGCCTTTCGCGCCTAAATATCCCCACAAGGCTGAGGTGCCTAGACGAATCACAGACACCCGTACCATGAGGTGTCCCGTGACGTCATAAGGAGGGGAAAGCCTAAGAGTGTGACATCATACCTCGCAGGGTGGGGGAGGCGACGTTCACCCCTCTGTCTCCCCACCTCTAAAACCGTTGGCTAGCAAGTGCAAGTACCCTCTTGTACCACACACTCACTCTCTCAAATCCCATTTCACAGAAAACAGACTAAATTCTGTAACTCTCTCTACAGAGCATTCACAGACTCATGGCTAGTCTTAAACGATGGTCCTTAGCATAAGCTTTCATCCAACACCACACAAGTGCATGTAGTTTGAAAACTTCTTGTCTAGTCCTAGAGCGACTCTAGCCTAATCTAGAAAACTAGAAAAACTAGCTGAGGGAATTTTCATTCCCTCACATGTGTGGTATATTCCAAGTTATATTTAGTTTTCAAGGTAAAATAAACTCTTACTGTCGATTTGCTATACACCAGTTTTAATATTGGTGATTTCTTTTTCAGTTTTATTAAACAATAGAGATTTTATACAAAATTTGACAATATCCTGAGTTACTTTATAATTTTTTTAATTATTTTAGTTTTGTTTTATTATTTTTATAAAACTGTAATATCAAAATAGGTATAGGTTAAGTATTAATTGTAATTAAGAAGCAATAAGATGCTTATCTTAACATACTAAGAAGGTTAGGTTAGGTCGGTGTTTTCTATTCAGCTTTTCAAGGTAAACTCAAATATTCACAATAAATTAGTATGTCACATAGGCACTTAATAATAAGCCAAATATTGACTATAAGCAAGTGCGAGAACGGGTTGCGTTTTTGGCAGCATGTCTTGGGTTGACATTCGGGCGCGGGGTTTGGAGGTCGAAAAGTATCCTGGCCACTCGCTACCTTGTCAGTGTCCCTGGACCTAGTGAGGCCTGCGTTGCATTGGGTTGGCGGTTGCAGCCAGTTGTCTCAACTTTGCGTTGATGAGTGAGAACTGACTACCACCTGAGTAAGTCCCTGCTTTTCCTTGTCATTGGGTAGTTAGCTCCAGGGAGCCGACGGGGCTTTCCCCAGAAATCCAGCATTGAATGTAATGAAACAGCATTTTCTGAGAAAGTCCAGGAGGCTCCCCGGCATCCCTCCTTCCCTCCGGACTGACATCCAGTCTAAGAATTGAAGGGTGGATCGCCGGCGTGAGGGTCTGGGGCTCGCCCTTCCCCTTCTCTGGGAGGGGTGGGGTAGTGCAGACAGCGGTGCGGCAATGTGATGACATCATACTCGTTTGCTAATTTTCGTTTGGGGAGTTCAGTCCACTTGTTCGGCTTTCGGTAACAATATTTTTAGAATAGAGGTTTGTTTTGAGGTGCCTACCTTTCTGGGTGCCTGACCCGGTCGATGGCAGACATAGAATGCTCCAACCACACAGGGGTTTCTATAGTCTATTGCTCCTCCTGCCTCTCTGAGGAGGCCAGGTTCTGGCTCGTGGTCCCCGGTAGGCAAGAACTCCATGCACATTGACTGATGCCAGAAAGCTAATATATCCATGTCAGCCTGGATAGCTCCAGAACTCACCAGAAAATGGAGTTTCATTACATTCAACGCTGGTTTTTTATAGATTTTTTCCATGTTTACCTTTTTCCATACATGTATTTTTATTTTTCAGATACAGTACATTCATACCAATACCTGACTAGTATATAAGCATGTTTGTCTAAATCCCAAACCCTTTCAATTTATTAATCTATGATTTGTAAATTCATTGACCTTATGGAATCATAAGATATATATATTATTAAGATTTTCATCAAAGTCAATATTTTTAATACTTTGCTACAGTATAACTAACTAATTTCAGGGAGAAACCTTTGACTGGCCCGAGCGAGTACCGTTCCGGCTGACTCATAACATGGTAAATGCAATGGGCCCTACAGGATACGAGGGCATATTCAGAAAGTCTTGCGAGGTAAGATCTTGGATAGATGTTACAGTCCATGTTCCATTATTACAGTGGCACCTCGATTAACGAGTTTAATCCGTTCTGGCACCGAACTCGTTATGTGGAAAACTCGTCTTAAGAAACAAATTTCCCCATTTAAAATAAAGGAAATAAATTTAATCCGTTCCACTCCCAAAAAATCCATACTTGTATGACATTTTATAATGTAAATATAATACTGCACATGTAATTATAAATGTTTTGTTGTACTGTTTTCATGTTTACCTTATGAAGAGTCGTTGCTGGCTTGAGGGAGACGATGGGGCGGTGGGAAGGAGGAGAGGGGTTATGGTATGGAAGGAGAATCCACCTCTGAATCAGACGGGCTCTCTCTTCTTGGAAATTTCACCCCACTGGGAACTTGTTGTGGTTCACTATCACTGGCTCTTCTTTTCTCTACATTTGCAAAGAACATATCTATTGACAATTGCTTTTGTCTTAAAACTGGTGTATAGCAAATCGACAGTAAGAGTTTATTTTACCTTGAAAACTAAATATAACTTGGAATATACTACACATGTGAGGGAATGAAAATTCCCTCTTGTTGCCTTGGGTCGCAGATTGCAACCTGTTGTCTCGGCTTCGCGTTGCGAAGTTTGTGGCGGCCGTCTCCCGGGTCAGCCCTTTCTTTTCCTTCTCTTTGGGTATGAAGCTCCAGGGAGCCGTAGGGGCTCCCCACAGAAATCCAGCGTTGAATGTAGTGAAACACCATTTTCTGAGTGAGCCCCGGAGGCTCCCTGGCAACCCTCCCTCCCACCGGTCGACGGTTTTTAGCGTTGGTTGAAGCTTAGCTTCCGAACTGATGCTAGGCAGCCAGCGCGGTAGGTCCGAGGTTCCCCCTTCCCCCTCTTGGGGCGGGGAGGGCTGCGCGGCAGTAAAATTTGATGTTTGCTTGTTTGCTTGTTTCCTTGGCATTGTAGGGAGTTTCTACCTCTCTGTTCACTTTTTTGTTTTAGTTTTTTACCATGTGGGGTTTGTTTTGTTATGCTTACCTTTCTGGGTGCCTGACCCCGGTCGATGGCAGATAAGGAAAACCCCAACCACAAGGGGGTTTTCCAGGGTCATGGCTCCCTGAAACTTCTCTGAAGGGCCAGGTTCTGGTGCTGGCCCCTGGTAGGTCTGAACTCCTTAGCTATTGTCCCAGTCTAATATAACATACATTAGCCCGGTAAGCTCCAGGGAGCCTCCGGAGCTCACCTAGAAAATGGCGTTTCATTACATTCAACGCTAGTTTTTTGTGGGGAGCCTCTTTGGCTCCCTGGAGCTATCAGAATGATATATGCTATATTAGCATATAGCATGAGCTTAGAGCTGCCTTCCCTAAGTGTCCTGTAAGTACTATCCTTGGGTTCTAGGGTTGCCTTCCCTTGAATCTTCGGGCTCGCACTTCTGTTGGGGTTCCTTCTGCTCAGTATTTACCCTGCCCCTTGTGGCTAGCTGGGGTTTTGTAGCCCTGGGTAGGAGATGATGATGTTTTTGCTGGTTGGGGTGCATCGGTGCTGCACAGCACGCATTCCTATAGTGGCGCCGGTGTTTCCAGTTCCAGGGTTGTGGTACTTTTTTTTTTTTTTTTGCATGGAGGAGGTCTGCCTAGGTTGACTATTCAGTCTACTTAAGATATTGTTGGTAGCCCTCCACCACCAATATTGTTTGAAGGTTGCTTGATATTTGTTTGAGGGTTGTTTGTTATCCTTGTCTCAGGGTAACATCACCTGTTACCTGTTTGGCTAACGATCACCTGTTTTGCCTCGCATCATGCTGCATGTTGGGTTGGTGACACCTTCACCCCGGAGTCTTGCAAAGCATGCTTCCTGCTCGTGGTTCAGTTTACCTATTCTTCTTTGGAAGTTCTTTTGGCTCAGGGGGCATATGCATTGCATCATAGGTTTTGATTGTTGCAAAGCACTAGGTTGGTCGTCCGCTTGGATGCCCCGGGGCTGCTCCATTTTGCTTATAGGGGCCCGGACCTAGGGGTATTAGTCGCTTTAACATTGGTTCCGTCCGCTCCTTCAGGTCCTTTCCCGGTGAGCGTGGTCCGACCTGCCCCTCCTTCCCTGCTACCGGCTCCCAAACATCTGAGGGTTTCGGAGTCGGGGCAGGGTTTAGTTAGTGATGAGACTCGGGCAGCTTCGGGGGCTGCCCCATTCAAAATGACGACAGAGGTATTTGATCCAGCTCCTCCTACTGAGGCTTCTGGGTCCTACCAGCAGACCTCCCTCTTTGCTGCCTTTTCCCTGGACTCTGATTTTCTTCTTGGGTAGAGGGCGTGGAGGACGGCTCCGCCCCGAGACCTGGCTTGGAGGCTCCCGGGGCTTGGGAGAAGTTGACCTGGGTGGCTTGGACCCTCTTTGATACCGTTTTGGTGCCCTTGTCGTGGGTTTTTCTGGGGGGGAGCCCCGTCGGCTCCCCGGAGTTTTCCCAGGCTGATATGCTAATGTCAGACTTTGGCATCAGTCATGTGTATGGAGTTCTAGGGCCTACCGGGGACCACGGCCAGAACCTGGCCCCCTCAGAGAGGCAAGGGGAGCAATGACCTATAGAAACCCCCGTGTGGTTGGAAGCATTCTATGTCTGCCATCGACCGAGTCAAGCATCCAGAAAGGTAAGCATTCCAAAACGGTTCTGGTTCTGGGTCCCTGGCAGGCAGACAACTCTATAACTGATGGCAGCTAGTAGATGGCACCTACATCAGAGATGTAGTTGTAGCTTCAGGGGGCCACAATGGGCTCTCCCCAGAAAAAGGTATTTCATTTCATTCAGTGCTGCATTCTTCCATCGACCCTCCCCATAATGGTGCTAGAGAAATAAGATTCAAATCAATTAATCATCTTGAGATTGTCGAGGGCATCAAAGGTACTGTTTATTCGTGTTTGGGAAGTGATGTTTTGTTTGTTTTAACTTTATTGAATATTTACCATAATAATGCTTTAGCTACTTTTATCAGTTATTTGCCTCCTAATTTGAATTTGTAATATATCATCATTTATTTATCTGTGTTATGTTTCACTTTATTCTACACCAATGACCTCACCACCCTCCAAACACACACCGAAACTACGACGTTGGTACAACGTTCGAACAAGTTTTAACACCACCTAACCAGTTATAACAACCAATATATCAAGTTGTAACAACATTCCAATACGTCATAAACACATTAAGCCAAGATGTAACAACTTTATTACAAGTTGTTACAAGCGGAAAATAGAGACAGTTTCGGTTTGTGTTTCCAGGGCAGTACAGTGCCAGATAAATTATTTCTCATTCAAATATTTATACAGTATCTTGAGGCTGCTGCACGTTTCTCAAATTCTCTGCTTTTATCTGCACACCATGGTGCCCTGTTCTAAGGTCTGTCTGTTTCCTTGTCCTGTGGAGTGGTCAAGGTAAATCCACAAGAGGTGTGTGTCCTCATGCATACCATCTGAGGATGTTTGCTCATTATCTGTGTTCTATTCTGCATTGCCCTGCTCCTACTTTACAGCTTAGGGAATTCCAGTAGTCCAAGTGTTCTTTTGTGACCTTGTTCCTCTTTCAGCATCCCTGTATGCTCCTCCAGTGTTTTATGCTGGTTTACATCTCCACTAAGTGTCCCATCTCTTTACTGTATCTGGAGAGGGTCTGGGTGTTCGGTGGTGGTGTTCCTTTGTATTGATTTGTGTCCTGTAGTTGTAGCTTTTTCAGGCATCACTGTGGAACAAATAAAGAATCCAGCAGGATTTTCCAATTTTAATGTTCCTTCTTCTGTCAGATCTGTGCCTTATGTAGCATTGAAGATGAATATCTCAGAAATCAGGGTGTTACTTATTCTTTGAGTCATAATGTGAGCTGACTTAAGGTAAGGAACAGAGTGTTAGTGAGGATGTTGCCATTTGCTGGTTGACTGTTGGAGCCAGATGTGCGTACTGCCAGTTTGTGAGGTCACTGATTGGTACTTCTTGTAATGACAAGAATTGCAAAGAAAAACTTGTAATTGTTTATGATTTAACTTGCTGTTGTCATTCCGAACAGGATTAGCTTTTTCCAGTAACTTCCTAACGCTGATATGAGTTATCAGGAATGTTTGATAAGATCCCCGTGCCAGTACAAAATGTCGCACTTGTGAGTGGCAAGATCCAATCCTTTAGAACTAGATTGCATTTTACAGTAGGAAGCATCCAAGTGTTCTGCTTAGAAAAGCACTTTTCATATTCACTCAGTCTGATTTTTTCACCAAAAACATCATGTGGTTTTGTTTCTAATTTAAATTGTAATTGCGATAAAATTGTTATGCAGGTGTATTTTTAAGTCTTATTTATTACTGCATTATTTAATCATTGTACAAAATATTTCCAAATGCTGGTATTTTAGGTGACAATGAGAGTGATGCGTAAGGAGCGTGAAGCGCTAATGTCTGTCTTGCGGCCATTTGTCTACGACCCTCTGGTGGAGTGGTCTCGAGGAGACAAGAGTGCAAAAAATACAGGAGAGATCAACAATGAAAAGGTATATAAAAGAGGCTATTTTTGATATCTTTTTAAGTTACATTACTCCTACATGCATTTCAGTGGTACTCCTTTTATCTTTGCATACTATCAGCTTTCTGGGGGGAGCCCCATCGGCTCCGTGAAGCTATCCGAACTGATATAGTGCTATATTAGTTGGGGTCATCAGTCACAGGAGTCCTTTAGCTTATCGGGCATCAGAGCCAGAACCTGGTCCCCTCAGAGGGGTGCAGGGAGCATTGGTCTATGAATACTTGATATTCAAAGTACTGTATGTCATAATTACCATCGACCGGGAAAGGACCCAAAAAGGTAGGCAAATTATAATGGACTACTGTACTGTTTAACCACTGCACTGCGCAAAGCACCTTAAGGCGCTCTGAGGGTTGTGTGATTTTTTTTATAATTAGGCCATAATTTAAGGTTTTAAAATTTTTCATTACTCTTTGTGATTTGAAATGAAAATGATTGAGTTTGGAAACATTTTGACATTAATATTAGCTGAACATTTATAAAAACAACAAAAATATGTCCTCAACAACTGCACCATGACATTTTTGGCCAAAATCAGGTGCACAGTGCAGGGGTTAAAACAAACAAGCAACACATCATCCAACTAGCCCCTTCCTCATTAGTGCTACCAACCCACTTCGCGGGGAGGGGTAGCTACCCCGGGTGAGCTGGCACCACCCCAGTTCTTGAACTGATGCGCTGGCGGTCGGATGTCACCACAGGCCTCAAATTCTCGTTCCAGATTTTTCCCCCCTGTATTCTCCTAGTTGTATTCACCTAGTTGACCAGACCACACACTAGAAATTGAAGGGACGACGACGTTTCGGTCCGTCCTGGACCATTCTCAAGTCGATTTCACCTAGTTGTGCTTGCGGGGGTTGAGCTTTGAGCTTTGCTCTTTTGCCCGCCTCTCAACTGTCAATCAACTGTTTCGCAGTCTCCGTGGCGTAGTGGTAAGACGCTCGCCTGGCGTTCCGCGAGCGCTTTGTCATGGGTTCGTATCCTGGCCGGGGAGGATATACTGGGTGCAAATCCTTAACTGTAGCACCTGTTTAACTCGACAGTAAAATGAGTACTTGGTTGTAAAAACGATTCTTCGTGAGGGTCGTATTCCAGGGACCATAGGATTAAGGATTTGCCCAAAACGCTACGCGTACTAGTGACTGTACAAGAATGTAAGAACTCTTGTATATTAAAAAAAAAAAAAAACTACTGACTAAATTTTTTTTCTTGGGGGAGTCCCGTTGGCTCCCCGGAGCTATCCAGGCTGAATGGATTTGTATAACTTTCTGGCATCAGTCAATGTGCTTGAAGTTTTTGCTTACTGAGGACCACAAACCAGAAGCTGGCCCCCCCTCAGAGAGGCATGAGGAGCAATGACCTATTGAACCTCCCCCCTCCCCCTCCCCTGTGGTTGGGAGCATTCTATGTCTGCCATCGACCGGGACAGGCACCCAGAAAGGTAGGCATCCCAAAACAAAACCCCTATTCTGGTGAAAATATTGCTACCGAAAGCTGAACGAGTGGACAGAACTCCCCAAACAAAATTAGCAAACTTGTAACGTTGATGTTGTTGATGTTGTAACGCTGCCACGCCGCTGTCTGCGCAACCTTCCCCTTCCCGGGAGGGGGAAGGGGAATTCCCAGACCCCCGCGCTGGCGATCCAAGTCTTGGCTGATGGGATTCTGGAGAAGTTGTGTGCCTCTGGCTCCTGTTTTGTTTCAGTTTTGTGCCTTGTGGTGTGAGCTGTCTCTACAGGTGGTGCATGAGTCAGGTGTCATATTCCACGGTACTCAGGCTGCATGCACCTAGGGTTCCCTTCCCTAGGTGCCCTGTAAGTACTGCCCTTGGGGCCTCCTTCCACAATCCTACTTCTTCCACTGTATCTGTGGGATCTACCTCCACTGTGTCTTTTACTGCTCAGTACTTGGCCGCCCTTGGGGTCAGCTGGGGTTTTGTTGCCCTTGTTTGTCTCTGGGTAGGAGGCACAGGGTTTTTGGTGATCAAACAGGGTCCTGGCTGCACGCTACCTCATTAATGTTCTTGGGTCTAGTCGGGCCTGCGTTGCATTGGATTGCAGCCTGTTGTATCGACTTCGAGTTGAGATGTGAGCACCACCGCCTCCCGGGTAAGGTAACACAAACACATAAGATTACTTCATGTGTTTGTGTCTCGGCTACATCTCTTGCGGGGAATGTTTTGTAACGTATTTTGAAAACTGGCTGGTTTAGGCTCCCGACCAGTCCTTGTGTATGCAAGCCAGGGATCTCATTCTTTCCCAATTTGCCAAGGTGTTTGGACTTGGTTGAATCTGGTTTGTGATTCCTGTTTTTCTTCCTTTTCCCTGCCATCTGTGGCTCTGCTCCTGCTTCAGTGTCATCTCCATCTGGTGATAAGGCACCTCTGATTATTTTCCGGTTCGTCAAGCAGTTGTGCGGGAGCCTGTGCTTTGCCTGCATGTTGATTTCCTTGGGCATTTTGTGACACTGGCCACTGTTTTGGTGCCTCCAGTACTGTCCATCTCTTCACCAAGAGGTGCGAGCTCAGTTAGCCATTTGCCTGCTGTCCTCTCAGGCTTTCAGGTTTTCGGTTCTGTTGCACCGTCCTACCTCGTTGCTGCTGTGTTCATGAACATCTTGGCCCTGGGTTTGGGTTTTGTGATCAATACTCACTAGGCCTCCCAGGGTTGTTAAGTAAATTCCCTTCTTCGAGCACACAGGACTGTGCACAAGTTTGTGGAGTTGTGGCCGTCTTCCTCTCAGCTCCATTCAAACTCTTCTCCAGTAGTTCATTGTCTGAATCACAGGGGGTCACTTCAGTCCCTTCCTCTTTTGGAGTTGCCCTCTGTAGGTGGCTCAGCTGCTGGATTCTCAGGGTTTGGTTTTCAGTGTTGTACACATGCTGCTAAGCTCCCTGCTCCATGGAAGGGGCAGAGGAAATTGTCAAAGGCCCTTGTCCACAGTTGGTAGTCTCCCACAAGTATCTGATGGGATTAGTTTGTTTGGTAATTGTTATTGTGTAATGTTAGAGAAGCTGCTGATTCATCTGGACATTTGGATAATTAAGAGTACTGTATTGGTATTATGTACACTATTGTATAGTTAATTTTCCTTCACACTCATACTAATCAGTTGATTTATATCACTTAGAATTTCTTAGTACACAAAATTTTAATCTGTGCATTTTTAAACCTTATTAACTTTTAATACTTTAATTCTGTTTTGTCTTGCTTTTGTGGCAATCAATGTTCTGTAGTATTTGATATTGTGTTGATGTTGTAAACGTTCAGAATTAGTCACTTAATTCTAGTGTTAGGTAATTCCATATACGTACATTGAAAAAATAAAGATTATCTGACTGGTATCATTAAAGAGAATTTTCAGCTATTTGATTATTAGGTTTGTTTACTACTTACCTTAAATGATGACTAAAGTTAAATTTCTAGAGAATAACTTTTTGTTTCTTAGGCCCAGATGCACGTGAGTAACATCGAGCATCGTCTCAGTGGGCAGATACGCACCAAGGCGCGAGGACCAAACTTACCATTGTCTGTGGAAGGACAAGTGAATTCACTCATTGAGGAAGCCACTAGTATTGACAATCTCTGCCAAATGTACATTGGGTGGGCAGCCTACATGTAGCATGACACTGTTATGTGCAGAGCAATTATAAACATGTAGTATGATGTTGCTATAAGAAGAGGAATTATAAACAGTTCCTTTCTCATTTTAGTTAAATCTGTTTTTAAAATGATAGTTTCCAATTTGTGTATTTTTAAAAAATAAAAAATTTTACTTATGATTTCTTATACTATATTGTCCTTGATGATTCTATATATAATGGAACCTCAGTGTAAAAATTTAATCCATTCCAAGAAATGCTTGGAAATGCATTGTAACCTGAATATTGCCACCAAATCGAATTTTCCCAATAAGAAAAATTGTAAATTGAATTAATTTGTTCCACACACCTAAAAATATTAATGTCAAAATACATTTTCAACAGAATACTATTCATATTTTTTACTGCACTTTACCTTCATTGAGGACTTTTCTTGGTGTATGGAAGATGGTGAGGAGGGGGGAGGGAGAAGAAGAGTTGGTGTATGGAAGACAGTGAGGGGGAGGAGGAGAGGTGTTGGTGTATGGAAGACAGTGAGGGGGAGGGAGGAGTAGAAGTGTTGGTGTATGGAAGACAGTGAGGGGGGAGTAGGAGAAGTGTTGGTGTATGGAAGACAGTGAGGGGGGAGTAGGAGAAGTGTTGGTGTATGGAAGACAGTGAGGGGGAGGGAGGAGTAGAAGTGTTGGTGTATGTAAGACAGTGAGGGGGGAGTAGGAGAAGTGTTGGTGTATGGAAGACAGTGAGGGGGGAGTAGAAGAGGTGTTGGTGTATGGAAGACAGTGAGGGGGAGGGAGGAGGAGAGGTGTTGGTGTATGGAAGACAGTGAGGGGGGAGTAGGAGAAGTGTTGGTGTATGGAAGACAGTGAGGGGGGAGTAGGAGAAGTGTTGGTGTATGGAAGACAGTGAGGGGGGGAGGAGGAGAGGTGTTGGTGTATGGAAGACAGTGAGGAGGGAGGGAGGAGGAGAGGTGTTGGTGTATGGAAGACAGTGAGGGGGGAGGGAGGAGGAGAGGTGTTGGTGTATGGAAGACAGTGAGGGGGGAGGGAGGAGGAGAGGTGTTGGTGTATGGAAGACAGTGATGGGGGAGGGAGGAGGAGAGGTGTTGGTGTATGGAAGACAGTGAGGGGGGAGGGAGGAGGAGAGGTGTTGGTGTATGGAAGACAGTGAGGGGGGAGGGAGGAGGAGAGGTGTTGGTGTATAGAAGACAATGAGGGGGGGGAAGGAGGGGAGGTGTTGGTGTATGGAAGACAGTGAGGGGGAGGGAGGAGGAGAGGTGTTGGTGTATTGAAGACAGTAAGGGGGAGGGGGAGGAGAGGTGTTGGTGTATGGAGGACAGTGAGAGACGAGGAGGAGAGGTGTTGGTGTATGGAAGACAGTGAGGGGGGAGGGAGGAGGAGAGGTGTTGGTGTATGGAAGACTGTGAGGGGGAGGGAG